GGTTTTTAAAGTTAATAAATGTAAGTAAGGCCCACTAACAGCCACATAGTCTAAAAATACTTACGAAATCCACAAAGGATTAACAGGCTGCTCTGATGCTTTTGGTAGAGTGAGAGAGAATTTGGTAATCTGTGCTAGAGATTATATTGCTGAGAAACTATTAGGGAAAACTATTTTTTAAGTAGTAAAGAATATATATGTATTTAAGCCCCTATGGTAGACTTAAAAAATACTAATTTAATGAGTTTTAGGTTGGTTTGGTTGGCTTGTTTTGAAGTAACCTGTTTCTCTTCCTGTCATGTCTTTTTGCAGAATCCAGACTCCAAAATGATGCAAATCAACCTGACTGGGTTTTTGAATGGAAAAAATGCTAGAGAATTTATGGGAGAACTGTGGCCCCTGCTCTTAAGTGCACAAGAAAACATCGCTGGAATCCCTTCCGCTTTTCTAGAACTGAAGAAAGAAGAAATAAAACAGAGACAAGTAATAGCCTTTTCTCTTTTGTGTAATGTTGATTTGAGAGAGTATCCAGACTGCTAAGACACTTTAAATTTTACATGACCTAGAGCTAGGATTAGCATGTTGTTTTGCTTTGCTGTAATATATTCAAACATTCAGTTTTGATTCTCCACTCCTCTCCCCCAACCTCGACATTGAGTTTAAAATGTCATTTTCCAGGGCACCTGGGAGGCTCAGTTGGTTGAGCATCCCAACTCTTGATTTCGGGAGCAGGTCATGATCTCAGGGTCGTGGGATCCAGCCCCTAGGGGCTCCATGTTCAGCAGGGTGTCTGCTTCTCTCCCTCACCATCTCCCCCTGCCCTTTCCCCTCCCCGTGCACACATGCTCGTGCACATGCGCGTGCTCTCTCCAAAATAAATAAATAAAATGTCATTTTTCCAGAGTCTGGTAATTTGGTAGATAAATTTTTTTTTAAGATTTTATTTATTTGTCAGTGCGCGCAAGCAGGGGAAGCGGCAGGCAGAGGGAGAAGCAGGCTCCTGGCTGAGCAAGGAGCCTGATGTGGGACTCCACATCATGACCCCCCCATGATGATAGAATTGATGTGAGCTGATCATGGTGAGCTGAAGGCAGACACTTAACTGAGCCACCCAGGCGCCCGATAAATGTTTTTTTAATATGTGCATACTTAGAAGAAAATTTGAACTTTAATAACCACGTAAAAGGTAAGCACAGGTTCTTCACATCGGCAGTGTATGTTAAATCACAAAAGAATAAGATGAATGTGAAAGTGATTTTTTTTTAAGTAAACTTGAGAATAGTCTTACTGGAAAGCAGAAGCCAATGAAATGGTTTATAGCATTGGTATTTATCAGAGGTGCAAAGTCTTCAATTTGTTTGTTGATCTCAAGTGTTCAGCTGTGTTTACTTTGAAAACTTGATCTTTGCAGATTGAACAAGAAAAGTTGGCATCTATGAAAAAGCAAGATGAAGACAAGGATAAGAGGGATAAGGAAGAAAAAGAAAGCAGCAGAGAAAAAAGGGAAAGGTCTCGAAGCCCAAGAAGGTATAATACGACACATGCATACCTGTTTCGCAAGTATTTTAGTTAGTAAAGTATTCTGTGTGTAGAAAGTTGCATAGTTAAAAAGGAAGCTAACGGCACTATTCAGAGAATTTTTTCCATTGTACAATTTTCACAGTGGACTAAGGTTTGTCTCTGGCCTAAAACACTTGTTTTGTTTGAGACAGATCATTTGACTATAATAATTGTCTTCTAAAATCTTGGTGAATTATACAACTCTTAATTCCTAAATCAAAATCTAGACTTGCCTTCCATATTGCATTTGTTTAAATATGGCATTTAATTATTTTAATCTATTCCAACTCCTTTCTTTTCCTTTTTATTAGAAATCTGTGCCCCATTAGCCATTCGTATTATACTTATCTAATTCCCTGTTCTGCTTTTCTTAGATGGTTGTATTGTACCAAAAACAGATCATTTATTTGTTTTCTTCTTCCTTCCAATGAGACTATGGTTAGGTTCCCATTTTTAAACCTACGACTCAGCTTCTACTGTATTTGTGGTGAAAGGTGAGAATTCTACTAGGCTTTCATTTTTAGAGTTCTGCTAATTTTTTCATAAATCTGTTGGAATTAGTAAAGGGAGGAGGAAATTTCTTTGTTCATTTTAATTTGTATATTTGCTATTAAAACCTCCTTATCAGGGAAGCAGTACTATTTCTAGAGTTAAGCACATCACTGTGATAATTATTTCACTATTGATGAACCAGACCTGCTGTTTACTTCAAGTTAGGGAAACTATTATTGTAAAGGAAAGGGAAGGGGTCTTCTTTTCAAAAAGGCTATGTAGGTTTGACGTATTTCTCTTCTCTTCCAAAGAGGATATTACTTTAATTGCACTAGTCCTTTTTTTGGAATACTAGACTACCTGACAAACTCTGTGGTGGGATCTGTCTGCATCTAAACTGGTTGGGTTTGAGTTGTTATTATGGAATTTCTCTTTACTTTCAAGCATCCTCTTCCTCTGAAAAGTTGGTCTTTGGTCTCCTCATCTCTGGGAATGATTAAGACTCTAAATCTAGTGTCTTAGGTCAATGCTTTCCTCTTAAAACTGGTGTATCGGAGAATGTTGTTACCCTTTGTTTGCTTGCCTTTCTGGGGTTTTTTTGGCCCATCCCCCGTTAAGTAAATATGACAGGATACTTTATTTTCACAAGGAATTTCTCAGGTATAAGGAGCAGTGGTATTTAAAAAGATTAATTCTCACTTTGCCCTTTGACTCTCTCTCCCAATCCACATGATTCAAAAACCTGAAAAAAATTACTTTCATCCTAGACGCAAATCCAGATCTCCTTCCCCTAGAAGACGATCTTCCCCTGTCAGGAGAGAGAGAAAGCGCAGTCATTCTCGATCTCCCCGTCACAGAACCAAGAGCCGGAGTCCTTCCCCTGCTCCGGAAAAGAAGGAAAAAACTCCAGAGCTCCCAGAACCATCAGTGAAAGTAAAAGAACCTTCAGTACAAGAGGCCACTTCTACTAGGCAAGTATATAAAAATTCATTTATAAATAATCACAGTTTTAGGCTATTAGTGACTGACTGCCAGTAGAATAACTCTGAGTTACAGGGGCGCCTGGGTGGCTCAGTAGGTTAAGCGACTGCCTTCGGCTCAGATCATGATCCTGGACTCCCTGGATCGAGTCCCGTATCGGGCTCCCTGCTCGGCGAGAGCCTGCTTTTCCCTCTCACCCTCCCCCCTCTCGTGTACTCTCTCTCATTCTCGCTCTCTCAAATAAATAAATAAATCTTTAAAAAAAAAAAAAAAGAATGAGTTACAAATATAAAATTACTTATTTCCCTTTTTATATTTCTTAAATCATAAAATCAGCTTGTTGAAAAGATTCCGGTTCTACAGGAGAGTTGTAAAAGACCCTAAAGGTGACCATTGCTATCGGTTGGTTGTATTGTTTCAGATATTTTATATATTGTAAATTGCTTTTTTCCCAATACTGTGGATGACTTTGTACTCTTAAAAATGTATATGGTTAGAATTGTTAGTTGCTCTTTAACTTTCACTTTAATTGCACTAGTCATTTTTCTGGAATACCTAGACTACCTGACAAACTCTGTGGTGGGATCTGTCTGCATCTAAACTGGTTGGGTTTGAGTTAAGTTGATCTTAGATCCCAAGATCTCCTAGGAATAAGGGAATTTGCCACCTTCTCTCTTCCTTTGGTTTTTCATTATCACTGGCTTCCGAAAAGCAGATGACCACAGAGCCAGTAAGCGACTTTTACCAATATTAAAATAACCTATTTGCAGTTCACTCTTCTTTAACTTTCATGTGTATGTATCTTTTTGGAGCTAAGAAGTCTTCGTGGATTTTGAAAACATTTTAGAGAAAAATAACCTTATTACATCATTGTATTATGACTTAGGAGTCTGAGCTACAGAAGGGAAAAATAAGCTTTTTGTTTCTACAGTGACATCCTGAAGGTTCCCAAACCTGAACCTGTACCAGAGCCTAAAGAACCTTCTCCAGAGAAAAATTCCAAAAAAGAAAAGGAGAAGGAGAAGACCCGACCAAGATCACGGTCACGTTCCAAATCAAGATCCCGGACACGGTCTCGCTCTCCTTCTCATACTCGACCTAGACGGCGTCATAGATCCCGATCAAGGTGAGCTGTGGCTTCAAGATCTAAGTAGTTCTTGAGTTTTTTACATGTTACTCTCTGGGTAGAATTAGATAATTTCAGAGCAGTAGAGAGCATTTAGTACAAATGTTACTCTTTGGACTTACAGAGAGAATTTGAGGACACTTTCTGTGCACCATAAAAATCTCTACATAAATGGAAAATCGTATGCCTTGAAGTCCATTTTTAAAATATAGCTGTTGAGAAAACTGTGGCAAGGAATTCATTCCTTGCTCTTGTTTATTCAGGCCCTAATTCTGTTTGTTATGGCAGATCATACTCACCTAGAAGGAGGCCAAGTCCGAGAAGGCGGCCATCTCCTCGAAGAAGAACCCCACCAAGACGAATGCCACCTCCACCCAGGCATAGAAGGAGTAGATCTCCAGTGAGACGGTGAGGGCTTTCTTTTTTCTTGTTTTTTTTCCTTT